CCATATTTGAAAAATAATTTGATTAAAAAAAAAATATTGATTGACTAGAAATATTAGTTATATGCGCATGAATGAATGCAATATGGACGATATGTGACCCAAAGCAAATACCATGGCATTGTCAAACAGACTGGAAATCCAGAACAAGACCTCAGCTTCCTGTTACTCTTCTATTAGACAAAGTTTGAGAAAAAGTGGAGCGAACCCCATCCTTTACGTAACACACCTAGTTCTGAGCCAGTACAGAAATACAAACTGACCTCTCTGAGCTCTGCTACATTCTTCTGGGAGGGAAGACAGGAAGTGAGAGTGCTCCAAGTCCAGTTATTTCTGAGTGTTTGAACCTGTTCACCTGGAGAAGACGCCTGTCGCCTGAAGCATCGGGGATCTGGGCCTTTGATGCTTTGACAGCACAATGTGTCTGTATGGGTTATGGAGGGGAGCTCCATTGTGGATTTAGTTTTAGACATTTTCCATCACTTTGACACTAATATTGCACTTTCCCTGCATTCTGTGGAAAAACAGGTATTTATAAATCCTTCCAGGTCCAGCAGAAATGTCTACACTGAAATGCTGGTGATAAAGCCTTAGGAGCCCCTGAGTTTCCTAGACATTACAATTTCTTAGTCAAAAAATAAAGAATTTCCTATTAACACTGGTTTACTGAGATGCAGCTTGAATAATAATAATTAAAAAAAAAAACTAATGATAAAGCAAAAAAGTTATATATTTTCATGCTATGAAAGCATCTGTGTTGTTTCACTGGTACTGACACTGTCCAGTTGCCATAGAGATCGATCGAGTGAAGTGGCTTTTCAGTAGTCCGGATCTGTCCTACAGTATGTGTGTGTGTGTGTGTTTTTGGGCTTCTGAAAGATTTGACCGTGCATTGTGTGACTTTGAATTAGGACACTTTGCTTGGCAGCCCTCTTTGTCTTTGCACAATGTGTGCGTGTACATGCGTGAGTGGTGTCGAGCATCCCTGCTGTGGTAGAGGGAGGCTAATTGTATTTTAATTTAAAAAATCATCAGACACACAAGTCAAACAGTTAACTTCCACCCACAGAAAGACACACAAGTGAAAGAAATTGTGCGTTTAACCCTTAAAAGACACTTTGTGAACAAAAAAACATTGTGGATTACTTTAAAATCAGGCTTAAATTAGATGTATTTAAAGTTACAAAGCATGTCGCTACTTCTAATGTGTATCATTTTGTTTAATCTGTGTTGGACTGAACAAGAAAGATTTGGTGCAATCTTATGAACAAGAGGGGATATTTTTTTGGTTGATGCTTTAAACCCACTATGGGGCCACCTGTATTTAGAATATCTGTTTGCACTGGTCTGCATATAACAATATTTTGTTGTTGAAATATATATATATATATACATTGAAAACTGGGTTTTTAATGTTTTTAACAACGTCTGTTATTGGACTAAAGTGTGACCGTCCAAACACAGCCTAATTTTCAATGACTATTTCTGGACAAAATCAAGCCTATGACATACCGACCAGGTTTAGCCTAAAAACCAGGATCTTAATAATGTCTGGTGTTTGGGTGTTAAAAACTGACAGAATAACCTGACTGACTACTTTAAAGTAGACACATTTGGTCCATAGCCTGGATCTTTAAATTGATAAAATAGCTTTACAGATTTTATTTGTAAAATAACAAATAAAATCTACCACGCATACAGGGTAGTGTTGGCCTAGTGCTTTAGAGCAGTGCACTTGTGCTCTGAGAAGGTTGCAAGATCCCCACTGTCTCAACTCTGGGTTCTTGAGCAGGACCATTAACCCCCAGATGCTCCTTGGGTGTCACACAATGGCAGCCCACTGCTCCCCAAGGGGATGGGTTAAATGCTGAGGTAAATTTATCCAACATGAGATCAATAAAGTTTTATTATTATTATTATTATTATTATTATTATTATTATTATTATTATTATTATATATCTTTTTTTTTTTTTTTTTTTTTTTTTTTTGCATTCTGTGGCCCAGACAAAAAAAAAGAGATGCCAATGTTGACATGCTAACACTACTACCGGTATTACCTTGCTTCTATAAAAGTTGCATTTGTGGATTTTCGAATATCAAACTTTCCTACCTAAGAATTATCCTTTACATTGCATTAGAGATGTGTTAAATAGTACAGAAACAGAACTATAAAAGATTGATACATTAAAAAGAAAAAACACAAAAGACAATTAAAAGTATCAGTCTAAAGGCAGATAAATGCTCAGCAAGAACTAAGGAACAAATGATTTGACTCAAGGCTGTGGGTGCATAGTTCTCGCTGGCCAAGACATCTCATATTTCACTAGAACTAAAATACAGACCTCCTGGGAAGAATTTATATGCTTCTCCCAGAGCAGCACAACCACTTTACTTTTCTGGGACAGAATGCAAGTCAAGCATTTTCAACAAAGCATAAGAACAAGCTGAAAGAACTGCTAAACCATTGCTGCAAGAACATAATGACTGTTTTGGTTGTATAGCTGTACAATAGAGAGCCAGTGCTGGTCGTGTATAGGAGGGTTTCCAGATTTTATGGTTAGAACCCTCTGATGGTTCTTCAGACACGTACTTCAGACAAGTCGATTTTCAGAGTTTTTTCAAGTGACCACGGAGATGTTCGGATGGCCAAAAGGAACAAATTTAAATAACTTCATCTAATAAATATGAATAGAATAGAATTCAACTATTTTCATTACTCTGTCACAAGTACAAAATACCTAAATGAATTATTTGCATTTTACCCATCCCCTTGGGGAGCAGTGGGTTGCCATTGTGTGGCGTAGCAGTATAGGGTTATGGGTTTTGCTCAGGAACCCATAATTTAGGCTGTGGGGATCAAACCAGGTACTGAACCGGTACAAAACAACTGAATATTTTATAAAACAAAACAAAATAGATTGAAATGTAGTCCATATTTGTATATGTGGACATACTTCTAATGGGTGCCAAATAGTATATTCCATAATATTTAAAAAAATGTTCAACACAATTCATATGGCTATATGCCTGTGTATGCAGGTGATTTTCATCCATGCCATTTAGCATAGCTAGGAACAGTAGGGACTAAACAGTCAAATGCTTAACCCAACTGTTAAAATGTTGTGAACATTTGAGTGAGTGACTCATTGAACACTTTAATCTTCAGATATCTTCGACAACTAAAGTAGTCTATAGGTAGATGGGGCATTAGGAAGATTATTGACTTCTCTATCTGTCACTGCACTAGATTAGCTGTAGCATATAGCTACAAGTACTTGCTTTACATCTTTAAAAAATAGTAAAACCACCCTTAATGGTCAAGCTTTATTTGGCCTTTTTGGTAAACAGATGAAACTGGCTTAAGGATGTGAGCATTGGCTGACTTATCAGTGAGCAGCTTCCAAACTTGTTGTCTTTTGCCGAGCCAGTAGCTGCTCCACTGGGTGGTTGATTTTGAAAAAAGAAGATGGGATTCTTTTACAGCCTACCAGCACCTCACTCACCAGTGCCAGTTTATCTTGTTTCAAATCAGTGGCTGGCTTTAGGAAGATTGCATGCTGCAACGACTTTACAGTTTTCAAAAAATGACATTTTGACATTTTAGGTTAAGAAATTTCTTAAACAATAACAACATGAATAACATGAATGTCCTGCATTTGGTGGTAAACCCAGCAACAAAGACTAGAGATTACAATTTTCTGTCACAGCAAGAACAACAAGTTGGGACAATACTTTGTTCTTTCAACATGCAGACCTAGACTATACACACACACATATATATATATATATATATATATATATATATATATATATATATATATCTCCAAGGTGACAATCACCCAATGATACATTACAGGTTCTTCTTGTATTTCATTTAAGACCACAAAAGATATCCAATAATATTCTAAGGAATTTTGTGCAAGTAGATTCTATACTGTAAAAATGTTTCGGCATCATAGTTCACTGTAAAATGTCACATTATATTTAGACTTTGTTCTTTCCTAAGATGACAAAATCATGCAATGTCTGTAAATCTGTCTTGTGCACATTCAAAACAATAGTAAACCTTTCCAATCCTTCCTAAAGATGTTTTGGTAGATGCCTGGTGGAAATCATGAGATACAGTGGAGGAAAAACCAAATTCAAGACACCAGCCTGTGAGGATTTAAGTCATGCATTTAGAGATGGTATTCTGCGTACTGTAGTTGTAACAAGCAATTGCTCTTGCCTTCAGACCTTTCTCCTCTGACCTTTTACATCTAAGAGCCGTTTATCCACACCCTCCCGCTCTCTCGATATGTTCTCTCCCTTGGACAGTTCTCTGTAAACCCAAGAGATCATTTTTACGATTGCACTTTTGCAATCATAAAAAAAGACCCATTTACTGTACTTTGAGTTCGTGTGGAAAAAGTCATACACGCACATTTACCAGGGGATTTTAATTAGCCCAAAGCCAAATTATTCACAAGTAAATTTTTTGGCAAAAAAAAACTTTCAATAAACTGCAGTTACAGATATTTCAAATAGAACATTATTATAAATGCTTGTACAAACAGATCCCTAAAGTTGTTTACATGATTAAAAGCAACCACTTAAGGACTTCAAATAATATTATGTAGCTAACTTACCATTATTGTGTGTCTGGATGAAGCAAATTATAGTTTGAGTTGTTTAAAAGTCTATCAGTTGTCCAGTTTTACTGGTTGCTGAGCATCTGTTGCAGAGGTCAATGCTTCTAGTAGACTGGTTTGTAAATCAAAACGCTGAGATGGAATAAAACAATCAATTACTCAGCTGTCCATTAGTAACCCCTACTTAGCTTGAGATGGATGCATCATGATGAAATGTGACTGCTCTGAGCTGCAGAACCAAACCCAACCTGAATCAGTCTGTTAGATACAAGAGCATGCCATGATTAAAAAAAGAAACAGAACACAACAGATATTTCACAATGCACTGATGCCTCTTTGTTTTTTTTTTTTCCTTTTTCTGCTTATTTTAGCTGCCCCACCGCCGAGTCACCTTCTCCACCTCCAATCAGGCCCAGGATCTGCAGGATGTATCTCAGCACAGCTACTACGACAGCGGCCTGGAGGAGTCAGAGACCCCAAGCTCCAAGTCATCATCTGGCCCTCGGATTGGACCACTTGCTCTGCCAGAAGACCACTACGAGAGGACCACTCCTGATGGCAGCATCGGTGAGATGGAACACCCGGAGAACGGTAAGACCAGGTGGATTTTCCCCTCCGTCTTTGCCTCTTCTTACCTCTTTTATCCATCTATTAGCCATGAGGGGAGCAGACACACATCAAAGGGTTTAGAAAGGCATTAGCATGCGTTTACATGCTTTTTATCACACACTCACCTTGTCAGCAGGAAACTAACACTGTACATGTAATCAAATTCCCACAATTCCCTTTGCTGCACACTGTATACCTTCGGTAAAGAGGTGTGCGACCTCACAGCAGCATGACACAATCAATATGCAACATAATCAGCTCCCACGGCTTAACTAATTAACATCCCAATTATGTAAATCATACTTAGTTCAACCCTCCATCAGTTCCACTTACAGAGCCATAGAGGGTGGCTAACGTGAAACATGCTAAAACAACCCTTATGGCTCCTGCATTTTATGGGTAAGCACTTCCTCGGCCTGTCATCATCCTACCTGGGAACACAAGTGGGAATGTGTTTATGCAGCTAACAGACTGAGAAGGTATCAATCTTATACAGTTTACTGATACATTTAAAAGTTCTATGATGCTGCATGTGAGCAGGTACAGTACAAATAAGTTTTTAGGCTTTTAAATCAGAAAACGGGAAAAAAAAACACATTTGAGAAAAAAGAACTCATTATACACGTGATAACAATTGGTTTTCCTTACTTTTTCTTAACAAATTGCTTTATTTTCAGCAACTTTTGTTAGCTTACATTTTGATTATAATGTTAAGATGCAAAATGAATTAGATAACAAGGCTTTTCCACCTGATTTCACCAAATTCTACTTGTTTTTTACGTCACATATTTATCACAAGAGGTCCATACAGCAGAAATGCTGCCCCTTGTGAGTGTCTCCTAGTATAGCACTATGAAATCTGATTATTTTAAGGAACATAGTATCCCATCCATTGAGTATGTGATTCCAAATGTTATGTTATCCAATGAAAATTTATAATAGCAGTCTTTTTCCTTTGACGATGGTGCTAACCTTATACTTAGCTTCTTTTTTGTCATTGTGGTCCTAGAAATTGCAACTTTTTTGGTTTGGCCCAATTTGCCTTATAAATTTTCTTTTTAAAGTACACTCACCACCCACCCTATTAAGTACACCATGTAAGTTTGGACCCATTTCTTTCCTACTAAATTCCCTTTTATTCTACTCCAATATATATATATATATATATATATATATATATATATATATGTATTCAAAAAGGTACTGAGACATCCCAACATTCCTAGTTTAGAATTTGTCCACGTTAAACAACATTAAAAATGCAGCTCTTCTGGAGTGTTCCCAGTCTGCAGCGGTCAGTATCAGTCAAATCTGGTCCAAAGAAGCAACAGTAGTGAAATGTCTGGTCAATCCATCTTGACGATTAATCTTAATACTGACTGAAAGGATGAATAACAGAAACATCAGAAGAATCAAAAGAATAAAATTATACTTTGAGAATTTCACTTTTAAATATTAAAGTCCAACTCCCTCAGAATAAAATCTTTACAGAATTAGGGAAGGTTTGCTGAAAATCTGAATTGCAGAAGCGCTAGGAAGCTGAGGTGAAAAGGCAATGACATAGTATATTGAGCCTAATATCAAATTCTGGTAAATTGTCAACACATATACATTTCATCGATGTGTTTTTAGGAATAAATGATTTTACCAAATCATCAGAAAGAAAGAAATATGACTCCATCTTCATAAAGATATTTAAAGAAAGATTTGAAGATGGTTTCAAATAGGCAATAGCATTTTGATGCATCCTAAGATTTTCTTTCTCGTTTCATTTAGCAGTGTAAAGCACTTTGCATGACTCTTTTCTGCTTCAAAATGATTTACAGTAGAGCTTCACTGATTGACTGGTATATAATTTATGTTTCACCGGAGCATTCTGTTTTCTTACTCTTTTGCATATCAGCTAATGGGAAATAACATTGCTTCACTGCATGCCTTGAATCAGAATTCCTTTATCTTATACTTATGAGCCAACCATGCAGCATGTAAGGTTGCAATGAAACATGATTGCTCGAAATCGGCAGCAAATCAATCGAGATCAGTTAAAAACAAATGAACTGTGTGCTTAAAAATTCACTCTGTTCAGTTTTTGTGTCAAATCTTTTTGACAACATTTTCCAGCAACTGCTGCACAAATATAAAACCTTTCAGAGATGCTAATGATTGATCAATCCAGAGCCATTCATCTCTGCTGCATATTGGATGAGTCTCATTTAAATCCTTAAAGCACGTAAGATCTTGTGCATGAATTGAATCTGAATAACCAGCGTAATGCAGGTGGATGAATCAGAACAAGGCAAGAAGAGCTACTTGTATGTTCTGCAGCATAACTTTACATTTTGATAATTATGCCCACTAACAGGTGGCTTTTAGTGCCAGCAACAAGATTCCCTGAAGTATAAATAAAGCAGCTAATTTACCTACATCATGAAGCCAAATTAAACTTCTAAGTAGCAATTCGCCCATCTTTTCTTACTTATGTCACTATTTATTGTTCTGCTTTGGCTCATAATGCCTCGTTAACACTTATGCCAATTAAACTAAGTGAGGTGAACAAGTTGAAGCGGGCGGAGGAATAAAAGAAGGTGGGTTAGAGGGTGAGGGAAGGAGGGAGAGGAGGAGAGCCATTCACTTTAAATGTCACAGCTGTCTCCTGTCTTTTTTCGAGGGGGTGAGAAGTGTCTCTGAACCCACAGGTCGCACATATACCATCTGTAAACACAATTATTCACAGCTGCTTGCACACCCACAGGCTAACGCCACCCTCCATTTGTTTGTGTGTGTATGGGGTGGGGTTGGAGGGGGACAGTTATGGGAGCAGAAGAAGAGGCTGGCTCCTCATAAGCAGTGGATTAAGGTCAGCTTTGGAGTGGATGATGTTGTTTCTGTCTTGCGCTTTGATGGTTTAACATGTTTCGGCTTGAGGTGTTTTTTTCTTCCAAAGGAAGTGTGTGTCTAGTTTACGAGCAGAGAGGTCAACAGATTACAGCCTGTATTCCGAGGATTAACGCAGTGCCACTGATACACTTTACTCACTATCACTCCAACTTCCTCATGATGCCATTTGCAGACTATTTCCCATATTCCTATTTCTCTTTGTTGCAACTTAATGCGTATATTGACTACACTTTATTTAGCTTGCAATCAATCATTATGTAAATTTAATGAACAAGAATAATTTCTGATAATAATACTGATTATATTTACATTCTAATAGTCTTGTATCAGGTGAATCACAGCCCGTAAACCCTAAGAACATCTTTGGTTTTCTAGAATCTAAAGTAAAAACAGTTTGTTCCAAGGAATTTAAAACTCCGATAAAATAGCTACAGGATAGTTGGGTTTATGCAGCCTTAATTTATATGTATATTTTCTGGATGTCAGGTTTGTTGTGGCTCCAAGTTCTCGTCAGTTGCAGACTTTAGTAAATATCCGTTTTTGTGACTGATTACTGATTGACCACATCCCAATATGCTGATGAGGATCCTCAGTTATCCAGAATAGGCAACAAAAAAAGAAAGAAAAAAAAAAACATTGATTCAAATCAGTGCTTTACTTCAGTGTATGCAGTTCAGTGCAGCAAAGAATGTCCAATCTGAAGAAAGTAAAGAGGCTCTCCGCAGAAGTGTGGCTCATTATTGGAGCTAGGATTATTAAGATCCTTACTGGGTGTTTGTTGGAATAATCTATTAAAAACCACAAAGTTGCGGAATGAGGTTTTAACCATTTAGCCATGTAATTTTACACGGATGTTTGATGTGCCAAGGAAACAGAGTTCAACTGGCAAGTTTGTTGCACAACTTTAGAGTTCCTTATAACCTTGGAAGAGCGAATCTGATACCCAATTGAGTGTCATCAGAATGCCATCAGATGATTCCTCTCCACCCTAGCAACTGCTACTATCCTAAATGTCCTCCTGCTCAGCACAGAAGTCTTGGAAAATCTTATTCTGTCCAACAGTTATTCTAAGTGCTATCTTAACCTTTTCGCTTTTTCATCATATGTTCTGAAACTCACACCTAAAACAGGTAACTTGGCTCTAAATCGTCACATGACCTTTCAAATGGAGAATTCTCTCCATTTACAAGGCCTTGCTCTTCTATGCATATCTTGTACTGTCTAGTTATACACTCTTCAATGCTTTCCAAACACAGTCTTAACCTTTTCTTAATAGCATTTTTTTAAATGTACAGTACAAAAGTTCCGAGTAGGAACCTTTTTATTCATTGTTACTTATACACCCTTAATTCTGACGCACAAGCAGTGTCACAAGCGTTCCACTGGAATATCCAAGCCTAAAACTCATCTCTGTGCATTAAATAGGGTCTATGGATTCCTGGATGTTTGCCCATCACGGTCACTTGGACTTTCTCTGGAGCAGATCGATTCTAACTCCCCAGGTCGTGTTTATAGGCATAACACACAGGTGGACTATGTCATATGTGATATGTTATATGTTTTACCCCGTCCCTCGCTGGCTGAAAAAATCAAGGAACATCATAATACATGATAATACTTTATAAGTATTATAATACATGATAAGGTTTTCATTTCTTTTTATAAAGTATGTGCAGAAACATTTTTTGAAGTGTAAGTGTTCAGCTTGCCAGGTTGCAATACTGACATGCTTGAGTTGGATGACAGTAAGAGGCTACACAGGTTGGTATAAAATCCATCCATACATCCACTTTCTGTCATGCTTATCCCGGCTGGGGTCGCGAGGGGTGCTGGTTTCTATCTGTAGCTGTCTACGGGCGAGAGGCGAGGTACACCCTGGACAGGTCGCCAGTCCATTGCAGGACAAACAGGAAAAATATCTATTCACACGCACACTAACGCCTAAGGAGAATTTAGAGAGCCCAATTAACATTACAGTCATGTTTTTGGACTGTGGGAAGCTGGAGTACCCAGAGAGAACCCACTCAAGCATAGGGAGAACATGCAAACTCCATGTAGAAAGAACCTGGGCCGGGGATCGAACC